GAGCGTCCAGTTGGCATCGCCCCCGATTCGGATTTTTCAAATGTGTTCAGATGTATCTGAAACTCTATATAGTAAAACAATAAAGAATCTGAAAAAATTCGGAAAACAATCTGAAACAAAATCTGGAAACTGAAACGGCCCCTGGGCCCCTGGGCTGCGCCGCCCCCCCCCCCCCAGGCCGCCCAGCGACCCCGCGAAGCACTCGGCCTTGTTGGGATCAGCCTTCGACCCCTGCGAACCTCGCTCCACCGAAAACCATGGCCGTAACGCGGCCGCCTTCTTGCCGCCGTTGTCTCATGAAGTCGGTCAGGGTTGCGACGCGAACAGCCGAGTCCTGGGCGGGCGGGCAGCGGGGGGGGGGGCGCGAGAGGAAGATGGATTGGGATAGGCTGAGCGTGGGCCACTGCCCTCTGGACCCCGCGGAAAACCTCTTCCAGTTCGGCCACTTCTCCCCCCCCCTCCTCCCCCCCCTTCTCCTGCCCCCCCTCCTTCCCCTCGCCCCCCCCCCTCGTCCCCCTTCCCCCTCCTGCCCCCCTCCCTTCCAAGCAGGCCCCACCTCCACGGTGCAACGGCCCGCGGATTGAAGTCCACGACGGCAACGCATTCCTGGCACGCTTCAGGTTTTCGCTTTCACATCCCAAGTGGAAAAACAACCAAGCATTTCAAGGGCCCTGTTCGCACCCAAACGGCCCCCCGGCATGCCAGCCATGTCTGGCCGATCCGCTGGGCGAGACAGAGAGAAGGGGCGACGAAAGCAATGCGGAGGGGACGGGGGCACTGGGAGGGGGGGGGGGGGGGGGGGGGAGGAGGAGGAGGAGGAGGAGGAGGAGGAGGAGGAGGAGCCAACGTGTTTCTAATCAGTTTGAATCACGCCGCTGGGGCGGGGAGGAGGAGGGATGAAGGAGGAGGGCGGAAGGGGGGGGGAGGGGGGAGAGGGGTCAAACAATATTGCTGCACTGAGGGCGCCCAAAGTGCACCAAACGTGTGTTCATGTGATTTCGCCGCGCATTGCAGCGGCTTCACCATTGCACGCCCCGAGCAGTCTGCGCTGCCCCCCCCCCCCCCACACACACACACACACGCACACCACACACACCACCACCACCACCACCACACCACACACACACATACACACACACACACGCACACACACACACACACACACACACACAGACACGCACACACACACACACGCACACACACACACACGCACACACACACACACACACACACACACACACACACGCACCACCACTACATAACTCCCAGCCCCCTGCGGGAGAGGCGCGGAAAGTGGCCACGGACACTTCCCCTTCCCCTGATGGCCACGAAGAGAAGAGAGGAGGAGGGAGGGGGGGGGGACGGGGGGAGGGAGGAATGAGGAGGGGGACGGGGGATAGAGGAGGGAGGAGGAGGAGACGGAGGAGGAGGAGGAATGAGGATTAGGATGATCTTGAGGAGGACGAGGAGGAGGAGGAGGAGGGGGAGGAGGAGGAGAGAAGGAGGACGAGGAGGAGGAGGAGGGGGAGGGAAGAGGGGAGAGGAAGAGAATGAGGAGGAAGACGAGGATGGAGGTCCGCGGGCCCTTGGCATCCTCATTGGTGAGTGGCACCTTTGCGTTGAACTTATCCCCGGTTGCCAGCGGCAGCGCATCGACCTCGGACGCATCCTCCAGGATTGCCGCGAGGTCCTTCTCGAACTTGCACCCATTCGTGTTCTCGCAGATCTTGCTTCGCTCGAAGATGCCCCCCCCCAATCCCTCTTGGTGCGGCCCCACTGGCCGTGGGTCTTCCTGATGCTCCGGACGCAGATCTTGTCCTTCTCCGAGTTGCCATCGCCCTGCGGGTTCATGGCGGCAGGACCTGGGTTCGCACGGTAAGAGCCCGAGCCGCTCAGGTTTTTCCTCCTCGATTTGATGTCTTGGAACTGGTTGTCAAACTCCTCGGCGTTCGACTCGTCCTCGTCGTGCTCGGTGACCTCCACGCCGCCCTCAACCTTCCTCTTTGAACTCCAGGACCTCCTCGGCGTAGGCGGCTACTTGGTTGAACGGCCACCCAACCTTGCTGTCCTCAGGCAGCTTCGGGTTCCGCTTCGTCTTCATGGCCCCGTGCTGGGTCATCTCCAGCACGGCATCTTCCCCATCTTGATTGGCAGCTGCCCTGAAGGAGATCCACCTCCCCTGCTCCCCCTCCTCGCCCACGTTCGCGATGCCCCTCTTGTCCGCGTGCAACTTGGCGGGGGCTTGGCCAGGTTTGCAGGCGATGGCGTCGTCAACCCACTTCATCTGCTCCACATAGCTGGCTGTGGCTTTCAGCTCTTTCCAGCGCTCCTTCAAGTTCGCGCCCTTCTTCAACCTGCAGTCCAACTTGTTGTGCTTGGCCTTGTCCGCCGGCAGCGCTGAAAGAGCTGAATCATCCTCGGGTTGGCTAGACGGTGGCGCTCCTGGCGCGGGTTCCTCAGTCGGCGTTGGCGCTGCCGCTGGGGCGGCTGTCGGGGTTGGTGGCGAAGCTGGCGACGCCGCCTTCTTTGCGGTCGTGGCCTTCTTGTGTCGAGCAGTCGATGCGGGTTCTAGCGTAGAGCTCGGAGCTGGAGGTGGCATCCGAACCAGGCATCCCATCAACGAGAGCTGTGTTTTGCCATCCTCGATCTTGGGTTTGGCGGGCATTCTGAGCGCAGGCGTAAACTGGCGCGTTCGAGGCGCTTGCTGACGAGATCCGCTCGAGCCAAAACTGCTAGCGACGGAGGGCCGAAAGCTTCTTAGATCGCTCGAGGCCTAACACGTAAGCATACAACCAGGCGCCGCGCGCGTTTCCCTGGAGGCGCCACCGGAGCGGGCCAACAGTCAAGAGACTCAGGGCTTATCAGCAGCGCAACGCACTGCAATGTCTATTCAGTCTCGTGGCCGATCGAGTGCAACGCACGCAATGCAACGGTGGATGCCAGCGCGAGCCCAACGCAATGCCGACGAGAAGGCGAAGGATAAGGAGAGGGGAAGAGGACGACTATGCCGAGGAGGAGAAGGAGGATGAGGAGGGAGAAGGAGAGGAGGGGAAGTAGGGGGAGGAAGAGGAGGAAGAGGAGGATGCGGAGGCGGATAAGATTCGGCGTTTGCGAAGGTTGGTTCGCCGCGGGCTGGCGGCGCTCATGGGTGGACACTTCGACGGCGCAAACAACAATTTAGAGGGCCTCCGAGGGGCAGGCAATTTCTTTTTTGATGGCAGGGTGCTCCGATCGGGGACGAGCTTCCTGGGGCTGACTGGCGACCGTCCCGAGTTCTCCTCATCTAGACGAAGCGCAGTAACCACTCCTTCGCACCACTCTTGGTGGTGATGTCGCCCCGCTCGGTCTTCTTGCAAAGCTCGCTGATGTTCTCCAGGTAATTGTCGCACATGGTGGACGACTGGCCAGCAAGGTACCTGAAGGGGCCAGCGTCGGGTGAGTGGAGGATGTAGGCCTCCTTCGGCTTGGTGCCGCCGTTCCTCTGCACGATCTTCACTGGGAGCGTGATCTTGTCGTTCCCAGCGGGGCTGCAAGCAGGCTTCTTCCTCGCGTTCCCTTCGCCTGCGGCGGCAGCAGCGGGCCTCTTCACGATCACCTTCTTACCCACAGTATCAATCCTCTGGCCGCCCATCTTCGGGTTCGGGATGGGGGCGTCAGTTGGCAACGCATCCACGTCCATGTTCCCCTTCGCCTTGGCACGCTGGGGTCTCGCCTTGCACTCGTCGCACTGGCAGATGACCTTTGCGATGGCGCAATCGCTCGAGTCGGACTCCGCGTGGCCGAACAGTTCCTTCACTTCCTGGACGGTCAGCTCTGCTTCACAACCGTCGCGATCGCCGACCGCGCCATCGTCGACAGCGGCGGGGCCAACTGCCATCTCTGAAGCCGTAGGCGAGCAACTTGGGAGCCTGATCTTGTCCGTCAACGCTCGCGCGGGGGCATTGTGGATATCGTCAAGCTTGCCGCTCTTGTTCTGGTCGTACACGTGCCTGCACAAAATGCGCCAGTGGTCGGCGGCTTCCGTGGTCACCTTGAACATGCACACGTCGGCCAGGGGCCCGAAAGTCTTGCACTCAGCATGCAGTGTCGCCAGCGCGATCCGAGGCGCGCTCATTTCAGGAATGCCAGCCGGCGCCAGGTCCAGGAGGTGCGTCAGAGCAGGCGCAAACTTTGCCAACGACTCCACCGATGGGGTTGCTGAGCGGCTCAGCTTCTCGTAGTCCGAACAGTCCCATTCAAACCCTGGCTTCTTCATGTTGGCTAGCGGCCCCCATGCAACTGCAAGTGCGCCCGCGTCGAAATGCGAAGTAGATGGTCTGGGGGCCCGCTTCGCCATGCAGAAAGACACTGCCTTGCAGGAGGATATTCCCTATAGGGAAGATCAACCTCGAGCCAAAGCGGCTGCGGAAGCGACGGCCTGGTGGAGCAGGAGGAGGCGGAGGAGGGGGGGAGGACGTGGGACGTTGGGCATGGGCAACGACAGCGGCCGTGGCAGCGACGGACACCCAAGGACCTCGGGGGGCAATGTCAGAGATCCATCAACGTCTTCTTCTAAAGGGCATGGCGGGGGCACACAACGCCCTCCAACAAACGTGACGTGAGACTATGGGTAGTGGCATCTGCAATATGCGCTTGCACGTTCTGCAAATGCGTAAATATGTTATTAAATATGGAGAAATGCGTTTAAATACGTCTAAATAATACTAAACATGTTTCAGTTATGTTTAACTACACATATGTATCTCTATTGTGTGTTAACGCAGCATTTATAAAACTAGCGCTTTGCAGCTGCTGGGTGAGGGAAGGGTCAGAAAAAGCATGAGCGTCGTGATTCAAGGAAAAGAGGGCACAGAGGGGTGACGATTGGGCGGGAGGTCGAGGGAACGGAGGAGAGGAATGGGGTTGCCCAGAGTGGAGGGAGAGACAAGACCAAAGCCCCCCAACAAAATTGATGTAATACTGCGTGTCGCTTCGATCTGTCCGCTGGATGCTCGCAGATCCTTGGTCTTGTACTTCACATCCTGGGACTTGGTCGTGGTGGCGATCTCGTTATCCTTGGTGATCTGGTCGTACTCCGCCTTGGCGCTTTCCTCGGCGCCTGTCATGTCGGAGAGACCCTTCTGGAAATCCGACTCGACCACCTCCAGCAAACCGATAATGCCTTGGGGATGGCCTAGCAATGGTAGCATCCCGAATAGGAGGAACGCTGCAAAGAAACACATTGAATTCTTAGTAGACTTACTGACATTATTTGTGGGTCCCGGCAACACCTCCCTGTCAAAACGAAACTTGGGATGTATATGTGATCCCGGGTCGAAGGTTCACAGCCACACCCCTAATTTGGATGGGCCCCAGGGTTCCACAGCCCGCCCCCCCCCAGACGGGACGGGGTGGGGACGACGACGACGACGACGACGACGACGACGACGGCGACGGCGACGGCGACACAGACCCCGCCAGAAGACGACGACGATGCAGGCAACGAAGACGATGACGACGACGACGGCGACGACGACGATGCAGACGCCGACGCCGACGCCGACGGAAGACGACGACGACCACGACGACGACGACGGCGACGATAAGGACGACGACGATGAACCACCCCATAGCCACGGGGGAGGGGCGCGGGAGAGCACAGGCACCCTCCGCCACGCCACGCCCACAGAGCCACGGCCACGGGGTGGGGGGAGCGATCCGAGCCGCGAGGCCTGCGCAAGGCTCACGGGCGTGCCCATCCAGCGTGGGGGTGGGGCCCGATCACATATGCACCAGGAGAGGGGGGGGGGGGGGGGGGGGCAACCCTCGAGCGTACATGCCGTTTGGAGGTTCCTCTTCTGGGGGGAGGCCCTGTGTGCAGGCATGACATCCTTGGGGTGCGCAATGATTCGCGCGTCCGCGACTGGTTCGACACCTCCTCAAAGATAGAGCGGAGCAGGGACGAGGAGGGGGCTGCGAAGGAAGAAGCCAGGAGGAGGGGAGAGGGGAACATCAGCCCAGCAAAGGGCCTCCATCCGCCCACATCCCTCCTCGTCCTCCTCCGCTGTTTTGACACTGGGCAAACTTAAATGCAACAGTATGGAGCGTTATAAAAAAGGTCAGGCCCTGGTACTGCAGAAGCGCGCATCGGCGAGAACCAAGACATGCAAGACAGTTGGGAGCAGCACAAAAATCAAGAGTATGCTGCACCGCCTGCGTATGGCAAGGATGGCTCCCCCCCCTCACATAGATCCCCCTCCTCAGCTGACTCCTCCTTGTCCTCCTGCTATTCCGCTCGTTCTGCCGAGACAGACGCAGCAGGCACACAACCTCGAAGACACGTGCAGAAGTGCCCCGGCGGGGGTAATCCGAAGCAGAAGCACGTCAGAGACTCGGGCTTTTGGAGCCCTTCCGAGGACGCCTCCGCCGGCTCCCTCCGCCGCGGAGTGCGCCTTGTCGTCCTTCGCATAATATTCCGTCAGCACCTTCAGGGCCAGGCGGACGCCCTTGATGCCCTGCTCCATGTCGGCCTCGGCTGGGCGACGTGCCAGCATGCCAGCTGGGAGGAGAGAGAGGAGAGAGGAAGAAGGAGGAAGGACACGGCGTCGCCAGTGTGCTTGCGTGCCGTGTTGGCTTCGTCCCGATTGTGTCCAGGGAGGGAGGAAGAGCAGGACGCCTTGTTCGAGAGGTACTGCTCGTTCTCCGCGGCGCGGATCTTGTCCATCTCCGCCTGCGAGGCGGCGATGTCGGCTAGCTCCTTCTCCAGGGCCGCGACCTCCTCCTTGAGCTGCGCGGAGCGCGCGGACATCGAGTCGATGGCCGTGGTGAGCTTCTCGATCTCCGCGACGCGGTCCGCCTTCTTCTGGTCGGCGTAGGCGAGCTCCTTGTCGCAGTCCTCTCGTGCCCTCGGGGCCACCAGGTCGCATCAGAGGCACTGCAGCCCCGAACTTGCTGCTCGCGAGACGGCTCTGACGTTGCCCCCCCCCCTCATTCGTGCCCAGGGGGGGATGCGCGCGAAAGCTACAATCTAGAATTGGTTGAAATTCGTATGCCCAGGCATTCCAATGAGCTGCGCGTCCTCACTTCTCTGAATCACCTTCCCTGCCATCTCCCCCTCTCCCTTCTTCCTTGACATCCTCCTCCACCACTCCATCCCCCTCCTCTTGGACAATCTCGTCCCGTTCGTCCTCGGTATCATCATCCTCCTCCTACTTCCGCTCCTCCTCGCGCTCTCCGTCTTACTCTCTCTCTCTCTCTCTCTCTCTCTCTCTCCCTTCTTGCATTCACCGTCCCCCTGCTGCCCTTCGTCCTGCACCTCGCATGGTCATCCCAGTTCGAGGCATGGGCCTGGAGTGATATTGAATGCATCGACCTGAACGCCGAAACCACGGCAAAAACAAAACCGAACGACGATCGCGAGAGCAACAGACAGGAGTTGCAAGTACGACTGCAACTGTTACAAGTATGGTACTACCAGAAGGAACGCTAAACAAGAAACGAGGCCGATGTGTTTCCAATAGA